GTGGTAGGTAGTCACATCCGCTGTTGAAAAATCCGTTTTTTATTTCAGGAAAGCAAAACCACAAATACTTCCTCCTGCAAACCTCTACAAAAATCAAAGAGATCATTTGGGAAAATAAAAATCCAGTATTAGTGATGTCCTTGGTTCTTTCAAGTTTTCTAGTATCCACTACCTTCTGTAGTCTATGCCAGTACCTACTCATTCTTGTCTGTGCTTTGGTATTGGGACTCAAAATACTTCGTCATTATTTTTATGTGTTTCAATAACGCAATTTATTCATATCTCCATGAGAAAGGTGAATCCTGCGAGAGGAAATTTCAGTCATGACCGTTGTCTTGAATCATCCGAGCTCCTGGTACTCGCTAATGAGACATTCCATTAGGAATTTCAAACTCCGATGATTTTTCAGTGAATCACAATAAAGTTTCCTCTTTTCGCCGCCCATGGTTACCAGTGAAACACTGACGTCAAGGAACAAGAAGAGCACGACCGCGTTCGCGTTAGCGCGAGAGAGACGGCGACACAAGAAACTTATTAGAGTAGGGAGAACGAGCGACCCAACCTAACCATACTCCGGCCCGTTCACCGATCGATCCGAATGCCGGAATAGACGGAGACAGACTATGTTTTATGCATGGGTGTGATCGGCGAACGGGCCGGCAAACGGCTGAGTCACAGTAATTGATAATAACTTAGACATTGCTCTTTGCTGCTACGTTCGGGCTATTTGAAAACTGAATAACGCCTCGCTCTCTTGATGGACTCGGCATTACAGTTTTCTGTTTTGCGATGTGCCTGGGCTGCGATTAAAAAATAGCGATCACTGAGGCACAGAGCGACAACAACGAACGCTTCACATTTGTTTTGTTCGGTGGCTATCAAGCTATCTCGGGCTTTCGACAGAGCAAAACATATTTATTGTTCATGATGTTTTTCGAGACTGTGTCTATGCAATAATTAAACCGTTTATCTGCCGCGATGGGTCGCGATGACAAACAGATGACGTCACGAGAGTTAGCGTTCAGATCATCAATTCTCCCAAGTTTTAATTCGAAAAACGTACCTAGGTACAGAGGTTCACTTAGAGCTCCCTAATGTATCTATCTACCTACCTATACTGGACGACGTGTTTTGACGTTTTAAATTGGTATAAAAAACTAAGTCTCCAATAGGTAGATAGGTTACCTAGGTTTACCTAGGTAATCCTACAGAGAAAAATCACATTTAAAAATGAAGACCTAGTTACCTAGGTAGGAACGGAAAATGATAGGAACCTACCTGTACTCTGTACCTACCTATACCTATAATAGGTAGGTAGGTACCTGTAGTATACCTGAGTACCCTCACTGTGGTAACCAGCAACCAACCTATCTGCCTACCTAATAATATAGGTAGCCACCTAACACAGACCTCCCACCTACCTACCTATAGGGTATGTACCTACCATATTCCTAGCTAGTGGTGTTCAGGTAGGGAGAAAACACCAAGCTGAATGGGTACCTAGGTAGGCAACTTCCTGAAATAGGAAAAATATAGCTTCAGAAGTATCTAGTACCACAGTTTAAGGAATATTCCTTAAACTGTGCTAGTACTAACGATTTCCTTAATCAATCCCACAGAGATTGTTGCTTGTAACTACTTTTTTTTTAGTAATGATTGTCTGAATATTCCGTGATTTCAATTTTTCCTATAAAGAATGGTTAAATTCAAAATCAAGAGTAGGTATAGTTCCTAGCTGGGTTATTTACTCCTCTTCGAGGCGTAAAGTGTTTTTTTACTACCAAGATAGTTTTCGTCATTTCATGAACCACTAGTCAATAAAGACATAGCCACCTTTGTTGTAATTAACCCAAATGCTCTGTTCTGGTTAGATATTCGCAGGAATGGCACTCGAATCTAGAAGGTACCGGTATTAATTTATCAATAACGACTTGTTATACCTATGCTGTCATGGTCATGGGCAACTATTGAAAATAAGTGCTTTCATAGTGGCAATAAGTCCATATTTCGGTTTCACAGAACTGAAATGATTGAAATAGGTATGCTAGTGGTGAAAAAAAATTAATATAAACCTTGGTAGTAAAGAACCTTATACCCTCGGTTGAAGCCTGGGGATATAATCTTGGTCCCTGATGGGTAATAATGCTATTCTTCACTACCTTGGTGTACAAATAACTATTATAAAGTCACTTGTGACAGCTTAATCAAAACATATCGGCCGTACCCGCCGTGCAGTCGACGTTTTTTGCTGAATTTGTCTCAAGTGACTTTGTGATTACTGTACCTACCTAGCTTTAGCAAAAAACATACAACAGGCGGTGTCGGCTTGTTTGAAGTTTGGTTGAAGTCCTTTGTCGTGGCGGACATTCTTTGCTCGAGGCGCTCCAACTGACTTTGGATTATCTAGCAATGACCATATTTCATCTGAACACCCAATTTTTCCTCTTGTTTGACGAATATTAAAGCACAAAAATTAACATAATTCATTGTATTCTTATCCGTCTGGGAGTTATCAGTCTCCAGAACTAAATCTGGATTTGCCACTGCCACTACCACAGGGAATTTGCCCAACCGAATCAAATACCTTTACCAATTCAACACCATAGTTTGCTGAATTCATTGGAAATACCTACTCAAGATTGATAAAATAGATAGGTTGCCTTAGAATACCTATGCAATATCTCATTATCGTAAAGTCATATCACCGTGTTCAAAATTAAATATCTGAAGCTGGATTTCATTTTTCGAATTGAAACTTAATATTTCCGACTCAAAATTCAGAATTTCATTTTTTCGATTTCTTGCTTTGAATTCTCTACTCATCAGTCGGAAAGTTCGAGTTTGCAGTTGGAAGATCCTATTTTGAACTGGAAATGCAATTTTCCTTCATGTTTACTAAGCAATTTCGACTACAAAATCGAAATTTTATAAGTTGGAAATTCCTAATTTGAAGTAGGAAATCCCTAGTTTAAAGTCAGAAAAAACAAATATGTATGATAAAACGTCTTTTTTTTGTGAATCGTTCTCATTGTGAAGTTTTTACTCTTGAGTATTATTATTATTATTATTATTATATATAGGTGCCATCAAGAAGCACTGTAAAAACCTAATATCTGGACCTCTAGCTCATCCATTTACGAACTGGATCCCATGGAACACCAAATGACATAGGTCGATGTCACAAGTGACAGTTTTGATCCGAAACGCCGTCTTCACACGAGCAATTTGAATGGATTGTTGGTGTATGGACATATTTGAATGGATTGTTGGTGTATGGACATATAGTTGATTGGTTAGTACCATCAGGTCAGGAATAGTTCGACCAACCAGAGAAATCCTCAGACGAAAGCGATAGACCTTCAGTCCTCAGAGCCTGAAAATGAAATCCTCTGAATTTCCGACTCGTATATATAGCTCATTGAAACTAAAATTTTTTGTATCTCAGTATTCCCAGTTCAAACTCATTTGAAGAATAGGAGCTTAAGGCTGGCAATATGATATTCAAAATTTTTGTTGGTTTGAATATCTTTTTAAATATTTTTCATTTCAATTTATGTTCTATTGAAAAACTTTAAAATGAGGTGGCAAAATTTTGTCCCTGAATAAATCGAAAGAGAAGTTATCGCCGTTTGCGGCGGAGGCAAGATAACTTGAGGTTGCTAAAAAGTTTCGCGGCCATGGTTTTTTTTTATATACACACTATTTTTCGTACTAAACAAAATCACAGTGTTATGAAAATAGCGTCGTCTTTGAATGTATACAAAATATTTTGACAGTTCTTGACTAAACCAAAAATTGTTCTGAGAAAAATGTTTCTGGTCTGACTTATAATAACCTCGTAATTGTCGTAGTTTGGCAAAAATGTCAAATCGGGAAGTGACGTTTGGTTTGGTAGGTATGTCGAGAAGACAGAATATATACCTACAAAACACCTTATACCTATAATAACAACACGTGTAAAATTCCAAAATACCACTATTTTTTTTTTAAATTTATTCATGTGTATTTTGTTTGACATTATTGTTCTCAAATCAAACTCAGCGTTCTGGATGTCTACAAGTTAGGTATGATATCCACCGTTAGTTGTCTTCTTATGCTCTCATCGTCACTAGGGCACCACGAATTCGTTGTCTTCATCATTTTGAGAAATCATTATTGAACGCAGACATTCTATTGAACGAGCAGCTTATATACGCTTATAATGCACGCCACCTCGCAACCTATTTCAATCTAGTGATCCGGCAGTGTATAAGTCGCCGTCCGCATTCCAAATACATTCTATCAGCGAACGAACGCATCTCAAACGCCATCCATGAATCAAACCTCACAAAAACACCTGGGTAAGTGGAAAAACCGCCAGCGAAAAAGAAGAAGAAATAGATAAGAAGCGACCTCCGTAGCAGAGAACGTTGCTAAGGTATTAGGTATTAGCGAACGTACTTGAAGTCTCATCAATACCATCACCCCCTCGAAACGCCAAATCGTCTCCAAAATCGTTTTCGAAATGCATTCAAGGTCCCATTAGATATTGCTTAAAAGCTCATTTTCGAAATTATCATCGGAATATTCATTAGGCAACTTTGGAAAGTATACCTACCTACGTTTTATAACAAACAACTCCGCTAGAGCTCGATACCAACGAGAATATTTTTCAATCCTCCGACAGCGTTGCCGCCTCCTCGTTAACCTCCTACTGCGATGGAGCAAGCAGATAACCGCTCGACAGCGAAAATTCCGGGATCTGCGGATCGCAGTTCGATGTGTGGCATCCTCGCTCCAACATAACCTTTCGCAGCGGGCCTGTTATGCAGGTGGGCCGAGCGCAACCGATCTCCACCGACCATCGCCGATACGTATAGACCGGTCTTGGGTCTTGGAGTTTGCATTTTCGTGCGCGATCTAGCTATAGTAGGTGCTACGTTCGACTGTTTCTCTCCGAGTGCCGAGTGTGTGACTACGTAAATTCTGTGTACTGTACTTGTGTTCGGCGGTCGATTTTTCTAAAGAACAAAATGTTACAAAAGGCGACGATGTCGACTTTCAGTCCTCATTAAAAATGTGGTTTGAATCTCAGGTGAGTACCTTCATTATTTTAAACAAATTGTTAATTGTAAAAAAAATCATGAACACATAAAATTTAGTGAAATATTCATTCCAACTCAAACTGCAATCGAGTCGAAAAACTTGCTTTTTCTCTGTAAATTCGCGATTTAAACTCCGTTTCTTCGCACAGTTTCCCCCACAATGTATTCAGGCATTGTTACCGAGTGATGTCACATGAAAAACGTAGCATTTTCAGTGAAAAACATCGATTCGAAATTCCCACGTGACATCTGTCAAGTCGATCTAGTTACCTATGCTATCTCCGCATGTGTTTTGTTTTGAAACGAGCGGGATCGCAGTATGCATTGAAATGATTTTATGCACAATCGCCCAAGTGGATGTTACACGTGTGCGTTAGGTTGCGCTGGCGACGTTTGGGTGTTCGGGACGCTAGGCGTGTCGAATATTTGCTTGGTCGGATGGATATTACTCTCTTGGTACTTCGAAAGACACCGTGGAAGGTGGAAGGGGTAGGCGCCAGCAGTTAGACGGCGATGCTGTTTACGTTAGCGACGTTCTTTTTTCCAATTTCAGAGATTAGGATTTAGCAAGGGTATATTTAATCGCGAAATCCACTGATTTTTTAAATTTTAAATTTTTTTTCAGAAATGCATCGCGATGACAGTGATTTTTTTGTGAATTGGGATAAAAGTGAAACAACTCTTCATATTGATGTCACTCATTTTCAATCCACAATTAAACGTATCTATCTATTGACTGACTATGTAGGTATTCTGCCTTTTGCATTTTCGTAAACAAATTTCTTACTATTGAAAAGGAATATACCAAACTCTACTGGAAACTTTTTCTAATATAGCTCTGTTCTCAAAAAATGCTGATGTCCATAATCATTCTACGAGAGCATCAAGTAAACTCAGAACTCCTAAATTCAGACTATCTGTCACTGAGCAAAATTCTATAAATGTCAGATTTTTTTATGTTTCACCACCAGCTGTTAAATCTTCGAATTTTATTCAAATTCAAAAAATGGGTGAAAAATCACATGCATTCTATTCAATTGAGGAATTCCTCTAATTTAACCATGAACACATGATACTCTCCCCACCTTCACAAACTCATCAATAAACCAAAAAAATAATTAAAACTAAACCCTCTTTGGGGCGTTGTATTGATACAATCCTGATGTACTTGCTTTCGCTTTCCAAATTTTTAAGCATTTGTATATAATATGTAAAATTTTCGAATCTGTTTTGTTCTTAATGTTTTGCTATTGAGTTCCAACTTGACATATATATTCTACTACAATGATAAAATCTGTTGTACCTTGACTTGCTACAAACATGTAACTCATGTAAAGTGGTTAAATAAATAAAGAAAAAATATTCTCAGATGCCTACCTAGGTATATTATGAACATCTTAAAAATTGATACATATTTTTCGTCTAAAAACTACTACTTTCCTCATAGTTCTTTTATGTTGAATATACCGAAAAAGAATTGATATTTTTATCAGATGGAGAGTGCAACTCATCAATGTATCTTTTTATACCTACCTATGTATCCTTTTCAATACTTTCATACCCAATCAAGTGGTTCAAATTTGAATTATGGAAATTTTTTATTTTTACAGACCTCTAATCACTTAGGTATTCGTGATTGGCTTTTCTCAATTCAAAATTTTCTTTCTACGCCCTGTGTAATGCATACCAATTCATCATGCGTCTAAATACATTTCCTACTGATGAATTGCTGCAAAGTTCCTAAAATTAAAATGATCTATAAGTACACAGAATATATCGATATTTAACTTTATTCGTTGATTGATGAGAAATTGATATGAAAATGTTCAGGTATGAATGAGTTCATATACGTTGTTTCTTCAAATTTTAAATCTGTTGAAACTGTACCTACCAACCTAAATATAGTAAACATTAAGAATATGTACTTGAAGTTTGAAATTGACTAATCAAAAATCTAACTACCAAGATGTTGATAGTTTATTATCACCCGTTATATATGATACTTGAAATAGATATTTGATATTGATGAAGAAAACCTTAATTTTCATATCTGTTGTGATGTTACGCTCGCCGTTGCCATGGTTACATTACCAACACGACCTAACAACTGCTGTTAGGTACTAAATCGATTTCACCAGCCAACTGAGCCAACTCAACATTTTTTAGAAAAGAAGAAAAAAAAACACTATAGTCGCAACTCCAGTCGCAAGTTGCACATGAACAAAAAATCGTTCGCCAAAATAATAACTATCTTGAATATCAATTATAGCAAGTGTTTCTTTTGTCGGTAGCTCCTTTGATTTTTAAAAAATATATAGCGTTTTGGAAAAGTGCTAGGGATATTTCTGGTTCCGTTGTCTACGTTGAGCGTCAGCATACGTTCAGATCTAGCCACCAGGGTCTATTTTTAAGCAATTTTCGATGAACGTGAACGCTTGACGGGACTCGATTTTCAATTTAAAAATAGCAACCGATCTCACAGACGAGACTCCAAAGTTTCAAAATAATTTTGGCCACCACCAAATTCTATTCACATCGCGAACTGTGTTTGATACTGGAAGATTTGGCGATTTCGCAGTGCATTAGAGATGCCCTAACTTGTAATCGACTTTAAAATGTGTTCTTTGTACCTGCATAAATGTCACGAGTGCACCTCGTCAATCGTACACATGAAATCCACGTGTTGATCGCACAAACGACTGGAAATTAATAACATTCCCAAACCATAAATGAAATCGTACCGGTTACTATGAGATCGAAAGGCACGATTTATTATTCATTACACTCGTTTAAAAATGTAAACATAACAATGAAAATGTTTATCTAGCGATATTTACATAAAAATACTATAACTATGTTATAATTAATCGGTGTAATGACCTATCGCAACGTAATAATCATTGATATGACATCTTAATACAACGATTATGTTTTTATATTTACGTTTCATTCATGAAATTGAGCATTATACTCTCGCACGTGACGTCAGACACGTCTGTCAGGAACTAATAATTTATTATTGTGATTTAGTAAATCTCCAACAAATCATTGTGTACACGCTTTTTCTGGCACGCGTCAATGTTTATGTTTATTATAACGTTCACAATGAATCGTTGCTTTGACAAGGATGGATAGATGATGGCGTTTCTTTCTCGATCATAAATCATTAGGCTCCTTTTTAGACAGCGTGGCTCCAAACCCAAAGTGCTAATCTCGATATAAATACCATCAACTTGATTGGTGTTTGCTATATTATTCAATACAGTAATAATACTCGGTTGATGGGCTGGCTGAATTTCTCATGGAATTTTTCTTTCACTACTTTGAAATAGTGATAGTAGATTCATATATAGGAATTCCTTACCCTCCACATATTTATTTTTAATCAATATCTATTAAACTATATAATATAATAACTATTTCGCGGAGAACTAATATTTCACCGATCCTAATATTTTATTTTCAATGAGTTTTCGATACTTATAATATATCTAGTCAATATGGCTGGGGTCGAACATATTGAAAGAATTGATGAAATTATTCAAGAAAATGTTGTTATATCTTTTTGAAAAACGACCAACACACACACGACGAATACAAGAATATTTCATCGTTTTCAAGTCTTCATATTGATGATTACATTCCTAGTAACACAACTCTGAAAGTTTCTCACCGAAACGACCTTATTAAAGTTTCTCCGCATCCTTGAATTTGTTTGCATCCAACTTTCCAAAACGGAAAGCAACAAAACCAGTTGTAAATACTCCACTTGTTGCACAGGTACAAAAAAAGGAAACGGGAACTGAACGCGGAACAAAAATATTCCAATAAGACCTCAGCTCGGGCGTCATTATTCGAAAACTTTAAAATGAAATCCATCTCTTAGACCCTTCTAAAGAAGGTCAGTAACAGTCTGTGGAAGTGAAGGGCCAGACGAGAATAACGGCCGCGTTATGAATGGGCAAGTAGCCTGCTTTCTCGCTAGCCCCATTGCACATTCCTGCATTACTCATTCCTTTATCTTACTACTACTTATGCGAAATCAAATCCCGGTGCCCCTTTTCAAGGCGTAATCGAAAGTGAACTCTATTCATGAATGGATGTCTCTCTGACAGCGTATCGACTTCCGACTTTAGAAGTTTCGAGATAAAAACGCCGTTTTGTTTGTTTTTCCTCTCATATGACATTGAAAAGACGCGCTTGTTGCTTTGCTCTTTTCTTCCTTCCTCGCATATGTGAATGGTTTGATATTAGTTTCGAAGTTTCGTCTCTTCAAGGTTGCCTTCACTTTTTAGGATCCGAATTAACGTCATATCTATGACTATGAAAAACTTTTCTCTTACCCTTTTTGATGTTTCAGGTCAAGATGTAAACCATTGGCTTCTCAAGATGATATAGAACAACTCAAAATCGAATCAGAGTATGACAGCATTGAGAATGCAATTTCCATAGCCACTTAGCTTAGATGAATCCACCAGAATTAATTAAATTGATATTGAATAAAGAATTTACACAAATAGAAGTATATTATGTAGTATATACGAGTAGGTATAGATACTGACGGGCTCAAATTATTAACAGACGATCATCACTGGAGTTATCAGCATGTTCCGAAATGCCTGGAATACGTTTTCACATACACTGAGCCATGACAGATTTATTTTTCATCACAGCAACCAATATAGAGTTACCAATAATCACACCCGACCCAGCAGGTGTGAGCGAAACTATTATTATTATGATGGCTTACGTATATGAGAGAATAGGAATGAGAACTAAAATCTTTAACAAGTACGTCAGTACACATTGCATTCTGCGTTTGAAACCAACAAACTTGATTAGACCTGAAACTAGGAAGACCTACTGACGAAATAATAATTAGAGAGTGCTGAAAACACACGTCGATAAGAGAATGAGAATGAGAACTAAAATCTTGGACAAGAATGTCAGTACTCATTGCATTTTGCGTTTGAAACCAACAAACATGATT